ATTCGCCCACAAGCATCTAGCCATGCACCTCATGATTGGTGCACACTTTGGACAATCTTTTCTCATCGCCTTTGCAATACAATTCCTGCAATCTCCAGTACCATTGGGTGAGCATGCTTCAGCAGAAGAACTCATGGTGGTGTACACCACTAGTAGCACCAAGCACATCACCATTCTTAATGGCAGCAACCTCTTGTTCGCATACTCCATCACTTTGAATTTTTTTGAAGTAAAGTGTTCGATCTTACTTTCTTCTGTGCTTGACCATATAGATCATACAGGAATGGTTTGTTTTATATCAAAATTTTTGGTGGGCCCAATGACTTTATGACTATTTTGCCAAAAGAGATCCATCGGATGGGATTTTGTGATGGGGTAAATAAATTTTTTAACAAAATTCAATATAGTTTTAAGTGTATGTGCATCTAGTGAATAACTATATATATGTATATATTTAATTTTTATATGTTATTTTGTATCTTTAGGTGGTTTAATCATCTTGTTATGTACAGTTTTTATCACGTAATGAAAATTTTATTGTTTAAAAATATGAAGTCAAATAGTTTTTTTTAAATGGTAAATCTAACATATTTCTAGAGGGTGTTTGGGATTGTTTTTTAGACTAAGAAGTTATTTTTGAAAAAAAAAAAACATTTTGGCTTTTTACAAAAGAAAGTTTTAAAATGTATTTTTTATCTTTTGAAAAGTCAAAAACTAAAACCTCAAAAGTCACAAAAAGTCATCAATTTATATCAATTTATGACTTTTAAAAAAATATGTTTTTGTTCTTGCCAAAAAATTGATTTAAAAAGAATTTTTGAATTGCAAAATATCTTTTTTGATTTTTAGCTTTTTGAAAAAATCAAAATTTCAAAAAATAATTTTTAAAAAGAATCTTAAACACCCTCTAAACTACTCTTTAATTTCAATAATATCTACAACAAAACTTGTATCCTCAACCTCAATAAAAAAAAAAAAAATGAAACATCGGATATGGCTCTTAAAAGTCAACCACATTGGAACGAACTTTAGAGCTTTGGTTATTACACAACTTAAATGCTCCATAAATTTCATTGAATGGTTACCTTGGATGTTAGCTAGTCTTCCTTGGGTTGCTCAATGATCTATATCTCATTAACTACTAATTTCTTTACCATCATACCATCGTTTAAAATCTTTTGTTTTTTAGCTTGTAGAAAATTAGAAATAATAAACATATAATTGAAATTTTTATTTAAATATCAAACTAATTTATTTTTATAAAGTAATTTAAAAAGTCAAAAATACTTTAATATGTTATATAAGTAACTTTTTTTTACCGTTCGACTCATTCCACTTTTAACAACAATATTTATTTTTTAAGTGTATGTTATTTAAATGAAAAAAAGAACAATTATCATTTGATTCGTTAAACGTTATTAGTAAGTTTATATGTAAAAGAATAACAATGGATTAGCACAATGTTGATCAAGTTACAAAATATATACTCAAGACAATCACAATATTCAAATGTTAGTTATATAATATACTAATTTAGAAGCCTCTTGAACAATATTCTATCGGTGGGGATTTTTTTTTTTTTTTTTTTTTGTGGGTTTACTTTTAATTTAATTTTTTACTTTATACTTTTTCGAGATAATAGTTTACACGTGTTTTGATGGTTAGAGATGCCATATACGTGTTGTTTTTTTTCTTTATTCACCGTGTCAGCATATCCCATTATTTTTCTCTCACCTGTATCACTGCTTCCACTGCCCGTATCATCCAATGAGACCTTGCACTGTTATATCATTGACTTAATATGTATTCGCCGCCTTCGTTTTGTTTCATCCCAATGTCATCGTCTCTCCTCTTCTACGTCCTCCCTGCTCCGCCTCCATCTTGATGCCGGTTTTTGATGAGGTTGATTACGCTTTCTTAATTCGGTTCCATCATATGTCATCACTGTTAACCAGGGCTCGATTTTGGATTCAACAAAGATTTAATCACTTACTACCGCTACCCCTGTTTCATCTTTAGGTCAATGTGCAGTTATGGACAGAGTTAATCAGTGAGGTAACGCTACCCTAACACTACCCTTTGGCTTTCTCAATTTAGCACTTCCTATCATTTGGGTAAGTTCTTCTTCCCTTTCGATGGTTCTAGCTGAAAGCAAGTTGAATTGGGAATATCATTGATTCAGGTTGTTGACAATGGATAGAATAATTGATCCTTATGCACCAATTGATTTGTTGAACTTCAGATATGTACTTATACGTTGAAGAAAGGAACTTGCTTTCAATTAATAAAGTCTTTTTTTTGTTCGTTTGTGAAATCCAGCCTAAGAAGTGACGAAGACAGACAGAGGGTCAGGGGTAGTTCCAGAATCAACAACGGACAATAGTCGGAGACCCATTGTATTTCTCTTTTTCCTTTATCATTTAATCAAGTCTAAACGAGTTTTACTTGTAGGTTTGCTTTGCATCAGTTCTCCCTCCTTTGCTCTATATTATGTCTAATTCAATTGTTTTTCTACTGTATATGTTGAACTCTATTATTCATATGTCTTAATTTGGGTTTTTTAGTGGTTATGATTTGGAGGACTCCTAATTAAGATCACTTATTGTTCATTTCAATTAGAACGCCTGTTGATTTTATTTTAACATTTGACATTTATTTACATTTTGTAGCATTGGAAGAGAAAGTGAACGACAGAATGTCTAATTGGGTCTAACATCCATAAAATTCATGAAAATTTAAAACTTTTTCAATCATTCAAAAACACCATTTAATTACAAAATGTTTTCAAAATAGTTTCATATCAGAGTATCCTAAAAATCAAAAACATAAAATGCGAGGAGGTGCACGATCAAGCATTCGCCTTCTCACGATCATCCGAAGTATCTAAAACAAAATTCAAAACTATAAGTCCGAAGCTTAGTGAGTTCCCCCAAAATACTGATACATAACAAATAACACACATAATAACAGCATATAATGGGTCCACAGCTCTACAGACTGGATTCCCCTGAGCCCACAATATGAGTATGGCTTGCCTTTCGGACCCACATCTCACATCCGGCTTGCTCCCGAGCCTACAAAATAAGTTCGGTTTGCTCTCGAGCCTACAACTTATGACTGGCTTGCCCCCTTCAGTCCGAAGACTAGAATATAACTGATCAACCCTCAGTACGAGTCTGGTATGCTCCCCTGGCCCTCAGCTCGCATCTGGAATGCCTAAGAGTCCTCAGTATGAGTCTGGCATGCTCTCCCGGCCCTCAACTCATATCTTGCATACTCCTGGGTTTGTTGGTCACCGTACAAAGCAGTATAACCTCAACCCTACCCACACAACATGTCAACATATAACACTTAAATGCACATACAAATAATCAAACAGTTTTGCAGGTAGTCCTACAGATCTACTCGACTGGCGTAGCAAACTAGCATGCATAACTAACTCATTCTCAACATACCATCAACTACCAGGATATCAGATCCAATAGGCCAGCCATTGTGCCTTTGACCCTAAGTATAGTGAGGACAACTCACCTCACAAGTAGTGCTGAAATCAAGAAGATCAAACTCCAACTCTCAGTTCCAACCTCAACTACTTATAACCATTATATAATTGGTTCCATTAAAATCTCAAATTACCAAAATACCCTCAGAATTCAAACTTGGTCAACCCTTGGTCAAAGACAAAGTCAACGGTCAAGGTCAATAGTCCATGTTGACCCAAATCGTCGAGTGCAGCTTACAGACTTTTCGAGTTCCTTCGGAACTCAGAAGATCGTGAAAACCCCAGTCAACCTGTAAAGTTACCAGACAACTCGTCAAGTCCATGCAACATCCAAAATCTCGGGAAAAAACCCTAACCAACTCGTTGAGTTATCTTACTAACTCGTCGAGTTCACGCATAATACAGAAAGTGGGAAACCCTCATCCAACTCGTCAAGTTGACCGTGCAACTCATCGAGTTCCTTCAGTCCTTTCCTCATTCAGACGCTTTGATGTGAAACCAATGCTCCAAACTTTAGATCTAGCCTCCTAGGGTGTAGTTACCACGTAAAGTTGCTAACTTTACATGCATGAAAGGGTTTAAGAAGCTAAAACACTCAAAACTAGCTTTAGGAAGAGGTTTAGTGCATGGAGAAGGGCCAAAGCTTCATAAAGCTTGAGGCTTTATGTACATGAGGGCCTAGAGTAGTCCATATTTGAAGTTACAACTTCAAATCGTGCTCAAGACTAGAAATGCTTCAAGAATAAGCTATAAATGATCCTAAACTCTTGAATGAAGAGGTCTAAAAAGAAAATGATCAAGGAAATGACTTTTTACCTCCAAATGATTGCCAAAACGAAGTAGATGTTGGATCTACAAGGCCCTTTTCATTACAAGCTTCTTAATGTGTGTGTGTATATATATATATATATATATATATATATATATATATATATATGCTTAGGTTATTCTATTCAAAATAATTATTGTGTTATTATATGTATAAATGTGGGCCAATCAATTTTAAGAAAGTGAATAATACATATTATTAAATTAAAGATAATTAGAAAATACCATATAATTTCATTTTAAGGGTATTTTAGTCAATTAACATAAATTTAGAAAAGAAAAATTGCATATTTTAAGGGATAATAGATTCTATTAATTTTAAAAATCTGATTGTAGTGATGATAATTCTCGGATATTCTGCCAGAATATATTTATCAAAAATAAAAATATTCTTGAACCATAAAATAATAAAAATATTTTTGAACCTATTTCTTGATCATTACTTTAAAAACTTCTTGGAGAATAATAAATTCTTGAACCATCAATTGAAGAATAAAAACAAGCATTAGATTAATTCTTATAGAATACGGGTAACAATTGCTAAGAATTACATTTATTGTTAAAGAATAAAACTAAAAAAACTTTCAAGTTGTGAAAAAAACATCAAAATCTAACCAAGACAATAATACATTCTAAAAGAATAACGTTGATAAGAATCACTTTCAATTTCATGGCCCATTCTTCAAGCATCAACTACTTCTGTGGAAACAAATTCAATGCACAAATCAGTGAGAACATACCCATATTCCATTCCAACAGAATTGGAATTTGTGATTCCATTCTGATAGAATTGGAATTCAAGATTCAGTTACGGTATGCATTATGTTGGAAAAATATCCAAAGTAAAAAACAATTTAATGAGAATGATATCGTTAGACATTCCAAGATAGAAACTCGTTCATTTTCATTAGCAACATCTAACTCTCCAAGTTCAGAAATTAGTTGATTTCGGATCTCAACCACCTGTAGAAGTAAAATCCCAATTTAAGGTGATGTTTGTTTTTTATACTAATGACGAAAATATCCCTACAACACAATATTCATAAAATTCATAGAATTCGCCCAAAGTGTTCACAACATCAACTAATCTCGAACAAAGTGTTCACAAAAATAAAGAGAGTACTGTAACATAGCCATTGTTTTGAAACCCAAATATTTCAGTAACCCAACTAAAAACTCAACTCCTGTGTTAACAAAACAAATTATGTTTACTAGTGGGCGAGTTTTCTTGATAGGATCTGGATACATGAAACAAAAAGATTATAACTATATCAATCTAGATTCTGAAGAGTTAATCTACATTGACAAATAAAAGATTTCAAACAATAAGCTAAAAGAATACAACTTTATCGATCTAAGATTCTGAACTCCAAAAAGTATAAACAGAAAACCACAGACCAACAAAAGTAAATCCCAAGGGAAATAGAGAAATCAGCATTCGTGAACTACAAGAATTCAAGCTAATTTTGAATTTTTGTGTTAAGAAAACAAATTATGTTTACCTGTGGGCGGCGATGTAGGCAGCGACAGGAGATGGAGAAGCACCGATGTCGGTTGTGGATCAGTACCGATGGTGGTCGTGGAGTATCGCGGTAAGTCGATGAAGCATCGGTGGTCGACTGGTCAGGCGATGATCGATGAAGCAGGGATGGATCGGCAATGGAGAGGAGGAGCGCTGGTAGAAGGTTCGCCGCCACAGATAGAGCAGCGACGGCGAAAGCTTGCCTCGCCTAAGATGGAGCAGCATCGACGATGGAAGGAGGCAAGGGAATGGAGATGGATTTGAAGCAAGGAACGATGGTAAATAGGGTATTGTTTACGACGTTCGCGAGAAGACGATAAATAGATGATTAGTTAGGTTAAGTTAGCGTCGGGTGGATGATTGAGGAAGACATGTTTATTTATTTAGGTTAAAATTCAATACCATGATTATAGAGATTATTTTTGGAAGTTACTAAACAAATTACTAAAGTACCCTTATTTATTTATTTAATTATTTAACTTTGATTGGTCCACATTTAAACATACAATAACACAATAATTACTTTAAATACATGAACCTAGCTCTCTCTCTCTCTCTCTCTATATATATATATATATATATATATATATATATATATATATATATATATATACAGAGAGAGAGAGAGAGAGAAATTATCATTTGAGAACTCATAGTTTTCCGAGAACCCGAGAACTAAACAAGAATCGTTAGATTAAAATAATAAAAGGCTAAGATACATTGTGGGAGTTTTGTAAATACTTGGTAAAAAGAAGACACAGGGGCATCTAATTAAAAGGAACCAGGGGAATTTCAGGGATAACATCAACCCCACCCTTTTTCTCTTTCTCTCTCTCCCCCTTCGTCCCGCATTTCTCTCCAGATCGATTGTAGAAATCGATTTGTAACGTTACAACCATCGATAGTTTATCTGATGCCACCAGTCTCCTCTGTGATTACACCTACAATCGTTCACGACGATAATGAAATCGATTTATACAATCAGCGGATCTTCATGACTTTCCTCCAGCATTCATGTTTCATCCAAGCAATCGGTACAATTGATTTCTTTAGATCACATGTTGTCGAACGTTGACTCCACTTGTATTCTCACTGATCAGGTCTCCGACAAGGTCCGCGAACTTGGCCTTGCTCAATCTCGCGTAAATGAAACCCTAAGCTTCTCGCTGGAGCTCTTAAAGCTCGTAAGAACGACATTCCTATGAAGGTTACTCCTCCGTTTATAAGTTTAATTTCGATTCTGATGCGATGTTTGGAAATTGTGAAAGTTTGATTTGTTTTTTGTTTTTGGTTTCTGATATGGATTTTGTAGACTTTATTGATGATATGCAAGGGCCGTGAAGGTACAGAGCTATCAGATGGAGATGTATTGCTTTTCCTTGAAATGGTCAAGTACAGGTAATCTACGACTCATGGTTGAGTGAATGAATTTAGTCCGTCAACCTCCGAATTTACCTCAAACACGAACTCTTTGACTGTTGATAATTATAAAGGAAGGTTACATCAGATTGAAGATTCGACGAAGGTAACGTCCTTTCTTCTTTATCTATTTCATCTTGTTTTGATTGATTCAGATTTTTTTCTATTTTCTCTCAAATTGATTGTATCTGCATGTTGTTCTGAGCTACTAGTTATATGTTATCATCTACAGTGTGATTTACGTTTATGTTCCTTATTCGATTCTTGATTCTTGATTTTTTGTTTTTGTTTCCTACATAGACCCTAACCAATTAGAGTTGGTATTATTTGTTGTTTTTGTTAAATAGACATCTTGAATTAATTGGTTGTATGTGGTATTTGAATTAATTGGTTGTATGTATATTTGTTTTAATTTGGTGAAAAATTGGTGATTAGGTTTATATCTATTACCTATGCCCTTTGCTTATGCTAATATGTGCATATGAAACATAATTTGGCATAAAAAGTGTTATCAATATTCTTTTTGTGAGACTTTCTACCGTTGATAAGGAAATATTCTCAAAATCCACATTTGAGAATATTTTGAGAGAATTTATTTCAATTAATATCCTTAAATTCAAGAATACATCTCTATGGAGCTCCATATTAGACTCATTAACTAAAATCGGTTCATTTATTGAAAAATCTCAAGATTCTGAGAAAATGCCAAGTTTTGATGCTACTATTGTAGCCAAAATGGTGGATTTATTGGCTTATGATGATTCAAAATGCCTTTTTCACTCAAAGTGAAATCAGTATCTGAAATTGGCATGATTAATTTAAAATATATGATGAAGATTGTTCAAGAATTGAACAAAACTATCATTACAAGTTTACACAAATCTTGGGTATATTTAAATATTTCATGGATTAATTAGTATTCTACTTTATAATAATGGGAATTGCCTGTTAAACTTTATTAATGGATTTTAATTTTCTTATAGATTGATGGAGACTCAAAGTCAGTTGAACATGCAATGATTCTTTTGAAATGCTATGATGATAAGATACTTTAATGGTATGTTCTTTATGCTTATTTTGGTTTCTAGATTGTTTTTTTTAAATAACATGAATTGATTCTGCAATAACTAGGTTTCAAAATATCAAAGATTCTGATGACGTGGCTACAAATTTTGCATTAAAGATTTGTGTAACACCTAGAATCAGGAAGACCAAGAAAAGAAAGGTTAAGCTCTAAATCAAGAGTCTACTCGTCGAGTCCAGGGAGGAACTCGACGAGTCGGATCAGGATCCGGGTCATTGAGTAAGTGACCGACTCGGCGAGTCAGCGAGTGGACTCGGTGAGTTAGGTCTGGGTGAGAAAAACCCTAATCCCAGAGGTTGTGCCCTATATAAAGCACATTATAACCCACCCTCAGTCTCTTTGCTCCCCTTTTGAGTTCCAGAAAACCTAGAATTGAGTGACCCTTCATTATTTCAGAGAATAGTGCCTGGGATGAGAGAATCTTAGAGAGGGGCTTGAAGATCAAGGGCTTTGCTGCAAAGGAGTGGTGTAGATCCGGGATTTACTTCAATTGGAGCTTTCATTTGAGGTAATAGTCTGTTGTTTGGGTTATGTGCATCTATATCTATCTTATATTTGAGTTTTGGGCATTTTGAGTACGGATGAGATCTATTTCGAGTTTGGAGTAGATCTGAGGTTGCTACCTCAGATCTACGTTGGTAATAACCCAGAAAGTTATACATTTTAGGCCAATAAGTTGATGGTGAAGCCCCTTTGTTACAAACCCTAGCCCTAGAGTTTTCTAAGCCTATAACTCCTTGGTTACATGTAAAGTTTCCCATTTTACGTAGAGGTTAGGCTCTAGAAGAATGGATCTATGGATTTGATCCCCTGCATGGCTCGAAAAGCCACTATACGGATTAAGAACTGAAGAGACTCGACGAGTCAAATGGGTGTACACGGCGAGTTGTATGATCATGAGCATGAACTCGGCGAGTTGGAAGAACAACTCGACGAGTCTGTTAAAGATTGCCTTGGAGTCAGCAAGTCTGTTCTTGGACTCGGCGAGTCAAGTCGCGAAACCCCAAACCCTTCAAGTTAGGACTCAGATCAGTGAGTTAAGTGGGGACCCAGTGAGTGGACAGGTCAGGACTCGAAAATTAGTAGACTCGGCGAGTCATGGTCTGACTCGGTGAGTCGAGTCGCGAATGAAATGGATTTAAGAGCTTATGAACTCGATGAGTCAGAAGGATGAATCGGCGAGGAGGGTCAGCCTGGAAGGTTGACTATGACCAGGACTTTGACTTTGACCAGAGTTGACTTAGTTGACTTTTGAAGGGTTGTTAGACTAAGTGATATATTGTTATTGGTAGCCCGGAGAGCTAGAGGAGCAATGCCTCAGAGGGTTGTCGGTTAGCAGCCAGAGGGTTGTCAGTAGAGCTCAACAGTTTAGGTGAGTTTCCTTCCAGTAGGAACGGGTCTAAAGCCACAATGCCAGCCCGTTTAGCTAGAAGTAGTTTCCGGACTTCGGTCCGATGCAATAGTTAGTATGTTTGATGCCTTCGTGGCTCAGACAGGATTTATGTGTTATGCGTTCCGAGCTACGACCCGATGTAGTATGCAATATATGTTTATGTTATGCTTTGTTCAGTTAGTTCGGGACTTCGGTCCGATGCAGGGGACAAGGTCCCAGTCAGTTTACAAACTTCGGTCTGATGCAGGGGCAAGGCCCCTGATAGTCCGGACTTCGGTCCGATGCAGGGGACAAGGTCCCAGTCAGTTTCCGGACTTCGTTCCGATGCAAGGGGCAAGGCCCCAGTTAGTCCGTACCTTGGTCCAATGCAGTGGGCAAGGCCCAATATGTGGTTTATATGTTATTGTATGGTATGTGGTAGTTTGGGGGAGCTCACTAAGCTTCGTGCTTATAGTTTTCAGTTTTGGTTTCAGGTACTCAGTTTTCAAAAGAGGAGCTTGGAGAGGTCGCAGTGCACACACCATAGTCAGTTAGCTTGGGAATGTTTTACTCTGATAATGAGATTATGTTTTGAATTAATACTCGAAAATTATGTTATGACTTATGATACGGTTTTATAAATATGGTTTTAGTAATGTTTTAAACGAAATTTTTAGTCGTGATTTTTGGGTCGTTACAAGTTGGTATCAGAGCCTTGGTTTGAGGGATTCAGACATACTTGAGAGTGTTTCTAGACTCAAACTAAGGAAACGGTAAAAAGTTTTCAAAAGAAAAACATTTTCGAAAGGAATTTTTGGTAAAAAAGAGTTTAAGAAAAGAAAAGAGTTTTAGAAAAAGCGAAAAGAATATTTAGAAAGAAAATAACTTGAAAAGAGAAAAAGGGTGTGGTGCATGCAATGAGCCGAGCTCAAGTAAGTACTCCCAAATTACCCATACAAGTTTATGATTATTAGTTTCAGTTTCAGTTTTAGTTCCAGTTTCAGTCCAGTTTCAGTTTCAGTAGAACATCATGCTAGTATAGGACTAAGGATCTAGGAGGATCCCTTATGTGCCTGCTTATGTGTTTCAGCCTTATGAGAATTACATGCTAGTATTGAGTAGACAGCAGTAGGATAGCCTGTTTAGGTTATGCCTGATAGTATGAGTTCAACATTGTATGCTAGTACAGTTTCTTGAGAATAGTTTGCATGAGTATGTTCTCTTTATCCGAATGTTGCTTGCTTTGTGCTTAGTGGGACTCTGAGTGATGGGAGTTAGCCATTAGGTGAATACATCACATCACATGTGGTCAGGATGGGATAAACTCAGAGTGCTGGATTTGACCATATTGCGCAACTCTCGTTTGAGTCTAACCGTTGTAGGGATGAA